CTGCTGCTGCTACTATTATGTTTACACATAATACTATACCATTATGTTTACATTACTTCAGCTATTTATATCAAACTCTGTATTATTTGCACTATTGTCACTTGCATACATCATACATACATCAAACTCTGTATTATACATCAAACTCTGTATTATTTGCACTATTGTCACTTGCATACATCACACATACATCAAACTCAGTATTATTTGCACTATTGTCACTTGGCCACTTTCAAACAGAACTGCGTACTGGTTGGCGTTGTAGTTATTGTACTGTCTTGTTCTGTCTTGTGCGTCCGCACGTTTGCACTTGTGCACTTTATGTTTAATTTATGTAGTCCCCGTAGCTCTATGTTGTTCTGTGTTGTCTTATGTAGCACCTTGGTCCTGGAGAAACGTTGTTTCGTTTCACTATGTACTTGTATATGGCTGAAATGACAATAAACTCCACTTGACTTGACACTTGACTTGACCTTAGTTCCAGTGAAGAGAAACTGTAATACTACAGCGTACAAAGACATTGTATATAATGATGTGCTTCTAACTTTGTGGTAGCCGTTTGGGGAAGAACCACTTATGGGTGTGATGGTCAGGTGTCCACAAACCTTTGGCCATATAGTGTGTATCATAGAGAGCATGTGCAGCATCGCACCTGCAGCGAAGAAAGGCCTAAGACACATGCAACGGGTTGTGACTACATGAGAAATGAACAAAGCGTAACTCAAAACCAAAGCCTGACGACTCTCCTTTTTGATGATGTGCAGAGGTGTGAGAGATAAGCCGAAGCTACAGAGTCAGTTGAGTAACCAGGCTGCCCCTATTCAGCACTCCTTCCTCACAGACGTGTCTGATGTGCAGGAGATGGAGAAAGGCTTGCTTAGCCTCCTCAATGACTTCCACTCTGGAAAACTTCAGGCCTTTGGTAAAGCTGATATTTTAATCCGCAATTGTATCTTGATATATTGACGCCCTAATTCCTCCTAAAGAGAGAGAAAAACTTGAACTTTCTGTTTGTATACAAGGCAATGAGTGTTCCATTGATCAAATGGAGCATGTTCGAGAGATGCAGGAGAAACTCGCTCGACTGCACTTCGACCTCAACGCAGAAGTGGATGACATGCCTGTGGACCAGCGCAAGCTTGCCTGTGATACCAATATGGACAAACTTCTACTGAATGTAAGCACTAATAATTTATGTCTGTAAAACTATTTATAACAGTTGTGAAGTATATAGAAGTAGCCGATTCTCGGGTCTAAACGCCTTTTGGGAATTCTTTTCATTTATACCTAAATGTATGTATGCAATACTAATTTGATATATACTATAATATAGAATTCTAATATAGAACATTACTAAACAACTACTTAGCATGCATTTGAGAAATTTAAGGAATCACAGTGTGTGTATTTTTCAGTAACTTTACTTTTGTATTCTTATATTCTTATGTGAATGTCTTTTACTTTATCACAAATTTTGAAATTTTTTTTTAAAGGAAATTGATTTTAATGACAATGACAAAGCTGCACTTCACTGTTTAATCTTACACAACGTTTATATTGTTTTTTTTCAGCTGGAAGAGTTGAGTTCGTCAATGTATCCTTTCAATGTAAGTCTGTTTATAAAAAACAACATTCAGGAATTGTTCCTTGCATCAAAACTCAGCTATGTTAAGTCTTAGGCACCCTATATATATATATATATATATATATATATATATATATATATATTTTTTTTTTTTTAGTACAAACTTATATTTTATGACTTCTACATTATTGATTCAGTACAAAAACATTTTAGATTTCCAAACATTAGTTTTCCAGCACAAAATTAAATGTTACAGAAAAAATGTTTTGTCTGTCAAGAAAGAAAGCAGCATATTACATAAGAGACACTTTTCAGACAAAAAAACATAATGAAGGCTGCTGGGTTTTGCTGCAAAAATAAGAAGCAAGTGCGACAGAAAAAAAACCAGAAGAACTGTAGCTGCTTCTGCAAGATGCTCAGTAACACTTACAGCTCATTTCCTTATAAAACTGCACAAATTGTACCTTAGATTACTTTATTTTTTTTAAAGCAAAGGGCCGTCACACCAAATATTGACTTTGTTTCATTTATTACTGTTAACTGCTCTTTATAGTATTTTTTTTAAATGTAGAAACATTTAGTTTCATTATTTTTGAAGGCATCTTTGCTCTACAGCATTTCTTTGCATGTGCCTAAGACTTGCGCACAGTACTGTATGTCTTACCTGCTCTTAAAGAATTTTGAAAGTTCCTCAACCATGATTCTCCAGACAAAAGCTAAACCTAGCTGATAACCAAGATGCCCCCAGACCATCCTCCGACGTATGAAATGTTGTGGTTCTGATGCCCGTTGCAGACCTGTTCATATATCTGTTACAGAGAAACAGCATATCAATCAGTATTGTTGCATTTGTGAACTTCTTGAACGGGCTTACTTTCATAGTTTAGTCTTAAATGGCACATAACTCAACATTTTATTACATTTTTCAACTAATGTCTTACCCATCTGAGTTTAGGACCAGACTACTTCTGTATCTTTACTAAATCAGAATGTTGGATCTTAAATATTGCCTTACAATTGTGCAATACGAGAACATTTGCAATACGCATATCACTATTCACTTTATTTAATAACCATATTTCTTTTTTTCTTTTTAAATTTTCATAAATAAAGATTTTAAATATTTTAATTGAACACTGTGTTTTGACATTGTTAACAGGAAAGGTGTTGGCAAGAGTTTGGGAAGCATGTTGCTTTTTACTAAAGCCAAGTATTTGCCTTAATGCAGTGTTTGAGAGTGTACAGAGGAACGGTTTGTGTGACTCAGACTGCTTGGTAAAATGTTATTTTTTATAATAGTCTATGCTACAAATGTATTTTATTTAAAAGCGAAGTGGTTTTCGATTCTAATATAATTGGTTGAATTCTGGTGGTTTATGTGGATTGGTTTTCTTGATGCCATCAATAAAGTTCAATTACTTATGACTCTAATATCTGAGTAATTTGTAGTAAATCTTCTATATCTTCTGTATTGACAGTTTGCAATAACTGTCAATACAATGTTGCACACATTCAGAAATACAGGCTACGTTTATTTATTTATTAGGCTAATTAGATATAATTACAAGTGAGACAAGACAGTGCACCAAAGATTTCCTATCCAAGTTCAAGTATTAATGACAGATTTACACACTGCACATTATTCATCAATGTCTGAAAGGTGTATTAGGTAAGATTAGTCATGTTTTTCAAGATTAGGCCTCTAATGGTTAAGTAGTTGGGTTTGAAATTTAAATATTTTTTTCCCACCCCCAATTCACACCCATGTTTACTAAGCTCCGCCCCCAGGATGTACAGTGGCCTGACAGGAGACATTCCGGACCAGAAATCAATTTTCTGAATGAGTTTTCTCAGCCACTTAATACACTTGTGTTCAGGCCATGGCTTAAACCATTATTTTTGATCATGTTTTACGTATCTTTCAGGTTAATCTAACAAGTATGAAAAGAAAAAAACATTGACTATTGCAGGTTTAAATCAAATGACATAGTTTGACCTTCAAACACATTTATTTGTTGCCATCTGTATTCATTTTGTTAGCAGGAAAACATGCAAAATCCTATGAAAACAAGTTGTTCTTTTGGCTGCTCCCATTAGGGGTTGCCACAGCAGATCACTAATCCACATATTTGATTTGGCACAGTTTTCACGCCGGATGTCCTTCCTGATGCAACCCTCCCCCAGTTTAATCCCGGCTTGTGACCGGCACTGGGAGTGCACTGTTTTTTTGTGCAACTCCAGTGGCTGGGGTTGGTTCCCTCGCCAGGAATTGAACCTGGGCCACAGCGGCGGAGCACCGAGGCCTACCCACTAGTCCTCCAGGGACCCTAAAATCCTATAAAAACAAGAAAGTCAGAGGGCATGAGATTCTTTTACATTTATTTTACATTACATTACTTTTACATTTACTGGGTTACTTACACCTAGGCAACATGTGTACAAAATATGAGACAGATGCCTAAATGCATTTAGATAGAGGTCTACACAGGTAAATCATTTCTCCTCTGTGTTTTCAGTGGAAAAGAATGATCCGTGGGTCGAGTTGAGTTAAAAAAAACAAAGACACATTTACATATGATTTGGAATATACACGAGGAAATGACTTTCTGGGAGTGTCAGTGAAATCCATTCCCAACTATAAAAACATGAATGAAACATTTTTTAAAACCCAATTCAGTTGGAAGATATGAGGGAAATGTCTTTCTCTCTGTGTTCTAGTGTAAAACAATGTTGTATGGAAGAAGCTTTTGAATGACACTGTAAATCAGACACATTACTACCATAATAGTAGTATATAAAAGAACTCTAGCGTCAGTATACTACAGAGAAACCACTTATCTTGATTTCGCTTGTTCTCTGTATAAAGCTTAGTGGGATAACTGAGATGAATACCCTAATATAATAACACATTCTTATTAATGTGCTGTGTAATATAATGATTATTTTTTAATAGTATATTTTTGTCTGACTTCCGAAAATTACAAATCGATTTACACAAATTAGTTGTCGACACCCACAATACACCAAAAAAAAAAAAAAAAAGAAAGAAAAGAGGATTCTGAACAACAGAATGTCTGAAGAACTATGTATTGACAGTTTTGTTTCAGATATCTAAGGTAATTGGATTTGAAATTAGAATTAGAAGCTGTAAACAGGACCAGAACTTTGAAAGCATGTGTCGTGATATGAGATTATAGTACATTAAAAAAATCTACATTTTACTCAAAATTTTTTATTTACCCACTGCACCAGGCTATGAGATAATGAGCACAGTATCAGACTAATACCAATACTAGTATCTGTATCAATGCATTCTATAGGGTGTCCCAAAAGTCGGGGAAATTAACACCAAAAAATCGGGATCGGGAAGCTGTTGCAAGGATGCAATGGACTTTAACAGGAAATGGGCAATGAAGTCTAATACATAGATTGTTATTATGTGATTTGAGTACGCACTGACAATTAAAAAATGTATAATAAAATGTAAAACCTTAGAAATAAAGGAGAAAAAGGGGAAAATACAAAACTTAGAAGCATTCCAGAGGGTATGATGATGGGACACTAACAGGCTAGGGATAACTCCAGTATATTGTCCTTGGGGATCAGAAAACCTGTCCCTGATTTTCCATATAGAGCAGCTTGAGAAAACAAGCCGGTTTCCTAGGCCTAAATATGCCGCCAGTAAATGGAGTGTCTATATGCTGCATAAAGGTATGCCTGTTGTCGTCTCCAGGCTCTCTTGGCGTAGATATGCTGTGGGTGGTGGTAGCTCAGTGGTTTAGACATTGGACTTCTGATTGGACGGTTGAGAGTTCAAATACCAGCACACCCAAGCTGCTGGGCCCTTGAGCAAGGCCCTTTACCCTCAACTGCTCAGTTGTATAAATAAGATAAATGTAAGTTGCCCAGGATAAGGGTGTCTGCCAAATGCTGGATGGATTCCTCTACAAACAGATAAAGAAAATACAACCTTGCAACTTGTTACATTACCAAGAGTAAATGCCTTTAACCAATTCAGGTGTGTCTGAATGAGTACTGAGTTTAAATGTGAGTAGGCTGCTTTATATTTTTGCTTCTCTCCAATTTATCATATATATATATATATATATATATATATATATATGCTAATAGCAAATCAACATTTGAGGTGCTCTACATCAATCTCCTAACAATTCGCATAATGCTAGCTGGATATTTATGTACCTGTGAGGTGTGTTATCTTATTAAAAGAATTTCTAACTTCCCTATTGCGGTACAACAAACGTATTTCTATCTAAATAACGAAGAAAGGCAATGCCAGTAATAAACAAAGACACATGAACTAATGCTAATCTCGATATTTCTAGCTGAACTTGCTAACTGTACCCACCTACTTAACCGTTAGAGACATAATCTTGAAAAAAAAACAGTGACCTGTCTTACCTAATGCACTTTTAAAACATAATGTCTAGTATACAATAAAAAGGTAATAGACATTTATTTGACATTGTTACATTAGCCATTTATTTCTTATTAGTTTAATGGGGGGAGGGGGTACGGTGGCTTAGTGGTTAGCACTGTTGCCTCGCACCTCCGGGTACACTGGTTTCCTCCCCCAGTCCAGGGACATGCACTGTAGGCTGATTGGCATGTCCAAATTGTCCGTAGTGTGTGAATAGGTGTGTGAGTGTGTGTATGATTGTGCCCTGTGATGGGTTGGCACCCCGTCCAGGGTGTCCCCCTCTTTGTGCCCCGAATCCCCTGGGATAGGCTCCAGGCTCCCCCTGTTTCCCTGTGTAGGATAAGCGGTACAGAGAATGGATGGATAGATGGATGGTTTAAATGTTACATATGTTACATACATAATGTTGCACTGTTGTCACCCTACACAGGCCTATATCCTTTTGACCACTAGGGGTCTCTAGTGGACACTAGAGAAACCAATTTTCAACTTTGCTGTGCTGGAAAGCTTCAATGCTTCATGAAATTGCATCTCACTATCAGATAACAATACATTCTATACTATAAATCATGTGTTTAATTACAAACAATTTTACAAGCAAAGTAAAATTTTGCTTAGCTCGATAAACAAAAAGAAATAACGCTGTAAATTAACATTTGGATTGAGTTGGTGTCAGTGTTGTGGCTATATGAGTGTGGGATATTATAAACCCTTTAACCTTCACTAGAAATGGGAAAAAACATTCTATAATTCTACTTCTAGCAACATAATTAGAAGGTGTTTACCTTTTCCTGAACATTTTATGAATTACAAAACTCATTCAGGTGGTTGAGGACGGATTGTACGGATTAGATAGATAGATAGATAGATAGATAGATAGATAGATAGTTAGATATACTTTATTGATCCCATGAGGGAAATTCTTGTGTTACAGCAGCATGGTCAGTAGCAAGATACAACACGTACACACACAAAATATAAAATATAAAACACAATAAGTTAAATTAAATGTAGTAGTGCAGATATGGAACACAGTTGTAGATTTAACCAGATTTACATCAGTATTTACATAAGTACACTTGTGAAAACTGGCAGTGAATAATGAATATGAAGAACCTGAAGAATCTTTCAACATGAAAGCTCATTGAAGATATATTTGATTTTTAAACAAGTTCATGAGGCTTCTGAAGACCTGCCTTATTTTCAATGCACATTTCATTACATGTTCATCATGAATAAAAAAAAAAATCTCAATACATGGAGCCTTGTTTGCAGACATCTATTTCTGCAGGTAGTTTGCCACAAGCACAAAGCCCTGTAGCATATTATTAATGCACAAAAAGATGCCAGATGTTATGCACTTCCGTTTAGGGCAGGAACCATGTTGTGTACTAAAGGCGGCTGCCATTATTGTCAGAGCAAACATCATGGGTGGATGTGATTTCTCTTTTGCACTTATGTTTAGCATTCACTAGTGGAGGAGTGCACAATGAGTCCACCACCAATCCTGAAAGGTGTCTTGTTGATAGACTATAAGTGTGTCTGTTATAGACGGTCTAAATTTAATCAGACACACAGTTGAATCTTCCAGTGCATGGCAATCCTGTAAAGATATGTAAGCATCCAGCCATGTGCTCATTATATTCCTTGATGATTGATGGACAAAGATCAGCTATCTTTCTCTTGTCTTCCTTGTTTGGACTACTCCCAAAGGTGCTATACCACATGATAAGAAGAGTGACAGATTTTTAATCATACCACTAGCACTGGTCTATCAGAGGAGTGGAAATCAGATGATCCTCCTCCAACAACCTTTTCTGTCTGTTTACCTCTTACAGATCCCAGACATTTCATTTCCAGAGAGTTCTGCAGTGTCTTGAACAATCAGATGCTTGTGAATAAGTTGTCAAAAATAAACAACTGTATTGCCTAGCTCACTCATTGTCCTGAAGAGAGTGATCACAATCATCTCTCCCATAATCCTTGTCTTCTCTGCCTCAGACATTAGCAACATGAAATTCTAGTTCACAATTAATTGTTTGTTAATTGATTGTGCTTCTCATGCTATAACTGTATATACATTTTTAACAACCTTACAGGTAAATGATTTTTAGGGGCCATCATAATGACATTTAATAGTATTTTGATAGATAATATGCTTTAAGATTCATTCTGTAACCACTTTCTCCCATTAAAACTGTGCACACGTGCATTCACACACTCATTCATTCATACCTTGGGGCAAATTAGTGTAGCAGATCCACATACCTGCATGTATTTGGACAGTGAGAGCAAAATCAGAACCTGGAGGAAACCCAAGCAAACACAAAAAGAACATGCAAAACTCCACACATACAATAACATGTGCTCAGGATTGAACCGAAGACCTTAGAGCTGTGAGGCAGCAAGGCTACCCGATACGCAAAATATCAAGCAAAGAATTGAAGTAGTTAAAGTCAGAATTATTCTGACTTGAATGGGTTTTGGAACAAGCAAAAAGGTACAAGTCATTTCTGAATTCTGCCAAACAATGTGCAAACTGCACTGACCTTCAACACAGTGTAACAGAACCTGAGGAGCAAGTAAGAGAGCTGGAATCAGACATACAAGTACAACATACTGCTGAAGGTAACACTTGTGATATGATTTTTAGTCTTTCTTGTCACACAGTAGGTTTTTACTCTGCAAATTCAGACAAATGTCTAACCTGTTTGTGCCATTTTCCTAAAGTGCTGTGTGATAGTTTGTGTATGCATAGTATGATGATATTAATACTGTTTTTGTTTAAGATACAGTGTGGAGTAGATTCTTAGGCAAATTAACAGAAATTAAGACCATGGTCAACAAGCTGTCTGAGCTAGTTATTGTATTGTTATTTATTTTG